TAATTTTTATTTTTTGAAAATATGATCAATAGTAGTGAGAGAGAAATATTTGCTACTGTAAATATATTCCTAATATATACTTTTATGTATAAGTTTGTATATTAAAAAAAGAGCTTGCGAATTGATTATTCTAAGAGAAAAACTTGAATGGATTCTAAAATTAAACCACTTGATTTCGTTTCCAGAATGTATCTATTAAGGTTGTGTACAAGATGAATATATATATTAAAATATTTACACATTTCTAGTTATTAATTTTTCTGAATAAGGCGGCTATACCAAACATTTCGCCTAGTGCATATATATCGGTAAGAAGTGCTGAGGGTGAATTGATAAATATAGATAGATATTAAAAGTATACAGTATAAGGCATGCATAGATAGCGGATATTAAAGATATGTATAACATATGCATTCCAATTTAAAGGGGAAAAAAACTAATAATAATTTTTTTTAATGAAAAATAAAACAGTTAATATTTAAGAATAATAAATATATTCCTTTTTGTAACATATAAATGAATCTTATTGGTTATTGATTTTAGGAATATAATCATAATCAACAGTGATGCAAAATGTATTTCGCGGTTTGTCGGAAAAGGGTTTTAATTTTTGTTTTAAATTTTTTTTTTTTTTTTTTGCTAATTACTTCCCGAATTCTTTTAGCGTTGTAAACAAGAAACGAGTAAAAATTTGAACTGGTATTTTATTTACTTGTTTTCAAGTTAAATGTCATACTGCAATTAAAATTTTGTTTAAAGAAATCAGATCAATTCACTCAAACATACACATCTGAATAAAACCGATGCGAGTTTATTGATAAGCATTAACAATAACTTTAAAAAAATATATAATCACAAAACATAAAACCTAAATGATACTTATTTAAATATTTTTATTGTATGTACATAATAATTACTATTCTGGCTGTATTTTTATTGAGGAATTTGATAAGAAATTATTCCATTACTGGTTTAATTGTATGTGACACACAAAATTCAGAAAAAGTTTAGAGAATCCATGTTTCATAGAATAAATGTTATGATTATTGATGCACATATTACTTAAGTATTGCGGAAAGTTAAAATCAATGTCATACAGATTAACATATGATTTATAATATATTGAAAATATTTAATATTTTTCTCATCAAAATGTTTGTACTCCTCTTACCTTATTAAAATAATTATTATATTGATTAATAATTATTGTGCTATTATTATACAATTATCTCATTTATTTTCACAATTAGTTTCATTGAAGTAAAATAAAATAAATAATTTTTTTGCGAAATTAGCTATGTTTTGTGGTTTTATGGTTTCTCAACATTAAGTGTATATTCACTCGAAATATAATTTTTTAGTCCCGTGTTTATCAGATTGTTTCAGTGAATATGTACTTTGCATTTTCTGTCATAAATATTGATCAGTTGTGGGCTCGAAACTTAAGTACATCTTTAAAAACTAAGATATTATTTGTCACTTTACTGGTTTAATTAACTTAATTTTTTTTTTGAAAAAAAAATTAGAAACAATGGATTTTTCTAGAACTAAATCATTTCCTCGTTCGTTTTCACGCTTCCATCTAATTTATCTGTAAAAAGGTTTTCACTGCTGTAGCTATGCTGCGACTGAAAAACAAGTTTCGGGTATTCTGAACAGGTTTTTTTTTTCTGTTCTACTAACAAGCTCAATTTTATTTGAGGTACAAGATTTGTTTATTTTTGTTTTCACAAGTCCTTAAGTATTTGTGAGAGAAGTTTATAATGTTATTGGAATTATGAAAATTTTGTAAAAAAGTTAACTTTTGCTACTCGGTAATATAAATAAATAATAGTAAGGGAATTTTTCAAAATTGACTTAATGTTTCTTAAAATAAATCAATGGTTTGCAAGTCAGAATAATAATTTTCATTTAAATTAAGTGAACTTAAAACATGTGTATGATGATGTAGATGGAAATTTAAATAAAAATAAATCTAATATATTTTTTTTTCCTACTCACAATAAAGTTACCGGTGATATGCATAAGTTATTTAGCCTATTTAATAAAGATGCATAAAAATTATCCATGTAAAAGAATTTTTTCAAAATTATCACAATAAAAGTTTTTAAGCATTACAATTTAAATATTAATATATATATATATTCCAAAGGCTTATTTTTTGTTAATAATTTTATGAATTGATAACAAAAGTGAAGTAGAAAAAGATTGTGCTGCATAATTTTTAGCATATTCTACTAAAAAGTGAATTTTAATTCAGGTAGTTTTTGGCTTATTTTTGATGGAATAAATTATATACATTTGAAGACAATAAATTTGCTATTTATAAATAATCAATAAAATTTTGATACTTATTATAATATTTATTGAAAAATAGTTTTAAAACCATTGCAATGCTTAAAATTTTTACTTGGGACTAAGCAAGATTTCATTCCAGCCTCTTCATACTTTTAAATTATTTGAAGGAAGAGTAATTATTACCATATCACTGCTCATTTAAGTCATACCTTTGTGAATCTTTATGATTTTTTTTTGGTAATTGTTCATTAACAACCAAAACTTTGTTGCTTTGTTTTCTTTCACTCGCCATATCAGGGTATTCTCATTTTTTAAAAATTATTCGTCATTTTTTTAAAAGTTCATTTACATTTTATCCGAAATATCGCCATTAATTTTACAAATTTAAAAGAACAAATCAATATTTTAATAGAGTTTTGTTGAAATCTTTCTTAGAGAAATAAACTTATTAGAAAAATGAATAGATTTAATATTAAGACATTTATCCATATTGTTCAGAATATATTTAAAATTTTTCTTGATTCCTTTATCCTTTCCTCTTAAAAAAAACCACTACTTTTTGCACCATGTTTCTCGCCTGATCTCATTGGTTAATTCATACTTTATTATCCTCCCTAACACGATTATTTTTACCCAAAGAAAATTTCTCCCCGCTTTGCTTTCTCTTCAGCTGAAATTTGTGACGAGATGTTACTTGGCATTCCCGACCACAACTTCTGGAATTTCATTATGCCTTGTTAACAAGGATCCGGAGAAAACGATCGCCAACGGAACCATTAGGGTAATTGCGAACGGTTGTCTGTCTGTCTGTCATTGTCCTCTCTCTGCCTCCTCTCAACGGCGATGTTTTAGTGTGGTTTCCTTTTCTCCTCTACCCCCCCCCCCTTCGTGGCCCGACACGAATCGTGAACTTTGCGTCTCGTGCCTGTAGAACAAGTTACTGAATATCGGATATTCCAAAAGATTCCGCCAATCGGTTTGGTGGTGGGTGAAAGAATGCCAGATTTGGCGAGTATTTGCTACTTTGGTTTAAATTAATTGCATAATGAGGAATAAGTTTTAGTAAACGTTTTAAACGATGGATTAAAATATAACTTTGTTGTATCTTAGAAATATAAACAAATTGTTTAAGAAATTCACATTGTGCAATTTATTAACAAAACATATATAAGGAAATATGTTTGTATATTATTCGATTAAGAAGGTGTAGAAATTTGAATTTCTTTCCGATTCGTTGCATTTCGAATTTTTTTAAATATCTTGTTATTCATAAGCATATTTATTAAGAAATATACAGTCGCAAAAATATTAACATTTGTGTTTTAAATGATTCGATATTAATATAAGAATATTTTTATTGTATATATAGTGTAAATTCTCTACTAATGACAGATGAAAATTAATCAAACCAAACCTAAAAAAATTGAGATTGTAAGAAACCAGACATAGGATATATGAGAAATTAAAATTATAATAGGGTTAAGAATATAAAAAATGGATGCTACAGTATTATAAACATTGCTGACTTAGGACAGATTATATATAAAATAATTTATATAAAAGTGGGGGTTGAACCTGTTTTGTGGCCAGCCAACCAGCCCCCTTTATGTTAACAACACTGAGCAAAAACCTATTGAAAATAATGGATTGAATATCTAAATCCATTACAAGATATATATATTAATGGGTATATATATATATATAAAATCGTCTTTCTGTTGTTTTTTTTTCTGTCCAGGAAACATACAATGAGTGCCTTAGTATTTTTAATTAATAAAAGCGTCTTTGAAAATTCGAAATAGTATTCTCTATTTGGATCTAGTGTTTTTGAGCCTAAATTTTTTGAAAATAATCACAATAGAACTTTTTAAAACGATATATGTATTTTTTATATACTATATCTTTGAGAAAATTAAAACCAAGAAGCTCTCACAGGGTCAAATGTTGCAACAAACATTTAAAAATCTTCTTGTATATATATGTTAAATTTGTAGTTTTGAATTATCCTTGAACTAAGGTTTGAGGATTTAAAAACTATTTAATGAATAATATACTTTTACTCTAAAAGTTATTTTGATATTAAATTCATTTCATATTTTAATATCTATATCATAATTAATGATTTTTTCCCCATCTACAATGGTTATTATATTTAGGTATATAGGTTTCTTCTATTTAAGACTCTAAGTGTGCGAGAGCCTGTAATAAACGCAGAGCACGTTTTCAGACAGAAAAAAGACTTACTTTTCTGAAAACTTTCATAAAAATTAAGTCTTGTATCTGCTTAAAATATAGCGTTTTTAAAATTTTAAAAATGTTTGATGGATAATTATGTAAACAAATAAGCCATTTAGCATTATAGTATAGGAGTAAAGTGCAAAAGATAATTTTTATCAGAAACAAGTAATATAAAAAAAAAAATTAAGTAAATTTCTACTTAGATCACAACAAAGAAAATTTTAATTTTAATTACTTTTTATTAAATAATTAAAATTAATGTAAATATGTATACACATATGACAGAACCATAATATTAAGTGGCAAAATAGAAATCTATTTTCCTAGCAATTTTCCATTTTCCTTTTTATATATAGTTTTGGAATATTTTGTTTGTTTGTTTGTTACTATTTATTCATTAATTAAATTTAATTATTCTAATAAAATAGTATACTAAAAAGAAATCACATTCTCAAAAATTAGGCCATCCCAGATAGGATTCGAACGTACAACCTTTGGATTAGAAGCCCAACGCACTATCGATTGCGCTACAGGGACACAACGAACGATTTTACTTTCTGTATATGCTGTTGGACTATTATTTTTGTTTGTTACTATTTACTCATTAATTAATGAATTAATATTTGATAAAACTGTATTAACATCAAGTGTCATCCACAACAAGTTTAAAAATTTGTATTTGAGCTTGAGTGGATGAATAAAAAGCATTTTAAAAACGATTAAAAATTTGAACAAGATATATGTTGTTGTTGCTCATGCAAATTCGAAGCTCACGAAATTCATCGTGGCAAGGGACTAGAAGTACACCTGTCGTTGGCCTTGAGCATTATACATGTGACAGTACGGATTAGCTAGGTGAAATTCCCCGAAGGGACGATAGATGGCGACACCACCTATCTCCACTTCCACAATTTAGACATGGAACTGAATGGGAGGGAAATATTCTTCAGTCGACTGCAGTCGTGATTCAGCCCACAAGACTTTCGGACCCACTGATTTAACGAGCACGTACTCCGTGTGTACTCGGAGGGTATTTGGTGGCATCGGGTATTGAACCCATGATATATATATATATATGTAGAGTGTGAACTCTAATATAGGAATTGAAAAAAGTGTCAACTTGGATAGAAATGAGAAATATGATAAATTATGCTACTTTGAATTGGATAGCGGAGGCAAAATATATTATTGTTGGAATACATTTATGTCTGAAAAAGTATTCGAGTTTCGAGTCCTATTCCGTAACATTAAGCGATGACAGCTTTAAGTTAGTATCTAGAAACAGAATTTCAGCCTGAAGAACTTTATTATCCATGTTTTACCTTTTATTCATGAAGAATCATTTAGGACCAGATTAATTCTTTTTTTTTTCATTTATATGAAAGTGATATTTACACAAATACTTATAAAATTAGAAGAAAAAAAAAAGAACAAAAGGGTATAATACTTTATCATATGTAAGAATGTTTTTAGAATGACTTATTTTAATATATTTATATATATGTTTTTAATTTAAAATAACGAAATGAAATTAAAATTTTTTTTCAAGTATTTCATTATTTTTGGAAACTAGTTAGTTGTCTTTACAATGTTTTTACTAATTTGAATTCACACATTTGTATCTTCGATACATAATCAATACATCCTTGGCACTGTTTCGAAGCCTGTTTGAGGTGTCATCTATCAATTAAGCACAGATGAATGGCAACCCTGTTCCCTTTCCCTCGCCTATCGTATGACAAGCAACACTCAAAAGATTCGATAGAAAATACTTAATTGTATAAGTACACTTTATTGCATTAAAGATATTGCTTGTTCGTTTTGCAGTCAAGCATGGCTTCGTTCTTTATTATTAATAAAACTCTTTATGAATTCTTCAGTAGGGATATATTTTTGGACTCGCGTGTTTGGTTGTCAGGTGTCTAACAAGTGAGAGTATTTTGAAATGATCCCCACTTCAAAGAATGAAAATGGAGCATGAAATTAATAGAATGATTAATAATTAGTTACACGTAGCTCTCTTAGCATTCCTTTTATATTTATCAGTATCATTGAAATATCTGACATGGTTCTTTACAAAATGGACTTTTCTTTATGTAATGGAAGATCGGCGTATTTGAATTGTATTTTTAGAACCACTGGCGTAGAACCCTGAGTGGGCCCTGTGTCAAAATTCCTTGGGGGCTCCTTTTTTGATAATGGGAGCTTTATTGATGGTACTATTGATATTTTACAATTATTTGCTTACATATGTTGAGATCCCTGCAGCTTGGGGCAACTTATCATTGATACGGATTATACGGAGGTAGCTACGCCCCTGTTTAGAACCAATGATTATATATATATATAATCATTGACACACACAGGATACATTTTAATACATACATAGATCAATATTTACACGACTACACTTTAAAATTATTTATGACTAATCAAGTAACTTTTTTGCATGTTATCTGATTTGCATCAAATACCAAAAAGTTAAACTCTAATGTGAGATTATGAATCATTTGGATTGACATGACATTAGTGGGAGTTATGAGCAAAAACTATAGGAGTGGTAATTGTTGTAAGAAATATGAGAGAGAAATGGCTAAAAAATTGTGAATTGAATTATTGATAGGATGCTCTTTGGTGAGTTTTTAAAGATATTTGCTATTCATTTGTGTGTGAATATACTGGGTTTTTAATTTGAACTTTCTGATTTTAGATATTTTTCTTCCTATACAAATATTTTAAACATGGGTGCATCATCTTTGGTGTTCGATGGTTTACTTATATTATGCACTTAATTGTTTTAGAATTTTAACATTTTAATGTTATAATATCTTTCAGAATGCGGTGGCGAATAGTTTAATTTTTCAAGTTTAATGGTTTAATTTTAACTTTTTAAATTTTTAAATTTTTGAGAATTGGATATTTTCCGATTAATTTACCAAGTTGCAATAGGGGGATGGTCAGTGCCATCTAACTAGTTTAACCCCACTTTTTGGTCCTAAGTCCAAGGTTGCACTTGGATATTTTATAAATTTTTATCTTAGAATTTTTTAATTTTGTTTGAAAACGTTGGAATTTTATCTTCTATATTCGCCATTGATATTTTGAAATGGGATTTAGTATTATAAGATACATGTAATTTAAATTTTTTAATTGATTATAAAGTTGTTATTGATTTATATATATATATATATATATATTATTACTTAATTTCCTCCTTATTGAATGAATTCCAAATGAACTGTGTGTATGTGTGTGAAAGGAACACTTAAGAACTGCGGTGGAGCCATTATGTCGATCGAGGTCGACTGGTGGACCACCAAGATTTTTTGGGGTGACCGCCTAAAATTTTACCAGTTAGTAATTATACACGGAAAATTCAAGTTTGGCTGACAGTACGCGGACTGTATAGAAGTCTTCTGCTGACTATAACAACAAAAATTCACTTTAGATAAAATTGTTTTTTTAATGTATTTGGAATTGTTTCATAGTAAATGCATCATTTGATATAATTATATTTGGGGCTATTATTATTAAGTTTGTATCTTGCGTTTTGCTTTAAACTCGGCTTTAAAGTTGTTTTTTTTAATTTTATTTCTGTAAGTACATACTCCGTACTTATTATTAGACTATAATAATAACCGTTTCCTTACCTCACCACACTTACGACATTGGGCAGTGGCACACACAAGAATTTTTAAAGTAGGGGGGGGGAGAGTTGAAGGTCTACCATTCTCGTATCATACCCCAATACGTAGCTAAATATTTTTTTTAAAATTTTGCCGTTGGTCGGGAACAAAAAACAGCAAAAGATAAATTACTGAATAAATAATTAACATTAATAAATAAAAAATTTACCAATATCAAATACTTAATTACATTTTATAAACTATGTACATGGGACAGTGGCGCACATAAGGGGGGTTCTGGGGGTCCGGGG